CACACACACACACACACACACACACACACACACACCCTCAAACACAAAGCAGCAGTCAAGGCATCCTACAGATGCACTCTTCCCTGCAGACACCTGACTTGTCTCCCAGGAGTAGTAGCCAGTTAGCAACAGGACAATCCAGTGTCCAATCTGGTCCTGGGACCTCAGAGACCAAATGTACTGGCCAGAACATCGTTATATGATCAGATTATCCATGACCGTGGCTTAGAGGAGATGGGGTCGCCATGAATAGTGGCTAGTGTGGATGACACAGAAGGTGCAGATATGGGTGTTTCCTGTAGCAAAGGCAGCTTGCCCTGTGCTCAGCCTGGGTAGAATGGAAGCAGTTTGGGTAAGGAGGCTAGGAGTGTGCCCTGTGATTTCTGACCGACACACAGGGCCTGTGATAGTAGATAACACCGAGAACCTAAGCAATGTCTAGTACTTTGAGTATCCCTTAGTTCCCATTCTGTGGCACTGACCCTCCAAAATGAACTCAGCCACACCCCTTCTCAGAGTCACGACCCAGTCGTCAAGTTCTAATTAAAGTCCACTTCAGGAACCAGTCACCCATCATCCAGTCAAGCACACACATGTAATGTGCAAACAGGCTCACACACATACCTTCGCATTCACTCCTCCCCTCCCTCCCCAGAAGCTCTTGCTCTGGGAATGGTGCCAGCATCTTCAGCATGGTGCTATCTTAAAGCAGCCTTCTCAGACGCATAGAGACCCGTGATCACCTGCGATCCAGTAGCTCATCATAAGCCCTCTCTATGTACCCTCCAAAAGTCCCTTTCTGTCCACCTTATGGTCAGCCACTGCTCAACCCTATCATTTATCATCTGTGTCCTGCAAGGTTTGCCCAATGTCCTTCAATACCTCAGTGGGCCAGGGGCCTTTTCTTCCTAACTCAACTCATAACAATTCCCTATGCATAGGATCAAGGCTGATGGTCACCTAAACATCTTAAGCATGCTGGATGGCTTTTTTCTCTACCTTGCTCCTGCCATCTACACTACCCTGCTCCTCAGCAACGCCCCCATCATAACCTGGCCTTGAGGAGCTATAAGAGTCTCCCTGTCTCTTGTTCACTCCACCTCCAAGCCCGTTCACTTGAGTCTGGATGGTGGGGATACTATAGTCTCAGGGAGGGGTAGATTGTAACATCTATGAGTGTCAGTTTGAAGGCTGTTCTGGCAATTCAAGGTGAATTGAGTCATACGAGACATGTATGGGGAGTCTGGCTGGGGTCAATTGTGTGTAGCCAGTACATTTGGCTTTTCTCAATTGCTCCATCTCTGATTAGGGTGCTCCAGGACCTGCAGGACCTCCCGGTCTCAGTGGCCCTCCAGGAAGTTTGGTGAGTGTTATGAAGAAAGCAAGAGTGTCAGTGTGGGTCGTGAACCTGCAGTGTCTGTCATGGTTCCCTACCTTATCCTCCTTCCCATCCACAGAGGTGTGGGCAGGATTTCCCCACAGGAGGGTACATCATGGTACTAATGAGGGCAACCCAGAACATTACCAACCCAAGGTTCTAGGTAGCACTCCAGCTCCATAGGTGATAGATGGACTTGGACTGATGACAGAGAGGCTGATGTTGGACATTTCACTGATGTTGGAATCAACATCAAGAAATAAGTGACCCCAAAGAAGTCAGAGGTCCTGATGGCTGTTAGAGACCCAGATTCTAACCCAGCTTTTCCCCAAACTGGTATTAAGACCTTGGTCAGCTGTTCCTGAAATCTTTCATCTGAAGAAATGAGATAGGGTTAGGCCAGCTTATCTTTTAGGTCCCACATCAGCTGCTGAGATTCCTCCCCTCCCTCTCCCGGATGGAGCTCCAAGATGCCTCTTAATGGGCTAGTTTTATGATTCAACGTAAGCATTGATTTAGCCTTTCATGATTTTCAGTAAAATACACAGTGGCATCTGGTCACAGGCTACAGAGACTTTGTCCTCTGCAATAGATTAGGCCAGGCTTGCTCTCTAAACCTTCCCAGGTAGCTGTGACTCAGAGGACAGTTGCATGGCATTTAGAGTCTTAATGCACAATTCATTAGTTTATTTCATCCACATTGCAAGCCTGTTGGGTGGATACCATCCTTGACCCCATTTTATACAGAAGGAAATGGAGGCAGGAGGAGACTGAGTCATGGGGGAAGTGGTTGGAGTGGCTCTTTCCTGTCCAGTCTTTCCTTTCCCACATGCATACATAGTCAACATCAGGCAACCCTTTTTCCTTTGCCCATCCCTGCCCCCGGCTTTTGGAGAGCATTGTATCCAGTCATCCACAGGAAAGGGGAAGAATTGGTACCTAAAGTAGCTGCAAGGTGGTGGGAGAAGAAACAGCCACCTCTTTAAATATATATATAAAAAATATATACTTTGTGTGTGTTTAGGTGTTTGCCTTCAACACACTGTGTACCACTGTTTGCTGGTGGTTATGGTGGCCAGAAAAGGGCTTCAGGTATCCTGGAAGTGGAATGTGTAGTTGTGAGCTACCGTTCAGGTGTTGGGATTTGAACCCAGGTCCTCTGGTAGAGGAGGCGAAGCTCTTAACCACTTACCCATCTCCCTACCCCTAGTAGCTTTGTACTTTGCCCTAAGGTGAGGTTGCTCTACAGGGTGTCCTAGGTGGGCTCCAGAGTCCTCAGCAGGGCTGAACTCCAGTTGCTCAGTGACTAGCTGGCTGTTTTCTTTCTCATGACCATATGCCCACCCTGGTGTGTCCACAGCATGTTTATCCTTGAGGTGTTGGGAAGAACCTCAGACACTGGAAGGGTAGGTCTCTGACACCAAGTCAGGTTTTTTTGGGTTTACTGAATCCTTTTTGGTATCTGCCCTTACCTGGTCTGTCTACTCAAAGACTAAGGGTATGAGGGGCAAGCACTGGGCAGACCATATCTATTCTCAAAGTTTTGATGTACAAGCCCCATGGCCAGGAGATGGGCATTAGTGAGTTTAAGACAGGATGGGAAACATGTGCGAAGAAGAGAAAGGAAGCCTGGGGGCATACCCATGGGGGCTAATGTCCTTCAAAAACTGACCATGTGAACAACCCTCCTTTTTTTCAGGGTCCCCCCGGCATCAGAGGTGCCCCTGGGAAAGACGGGGAGCGTGGGGAGAAGGTAAGAGCAATGCAGACTGCAGAAAGACATTCTGTTGTTGAAGGCTTCACGTGGGCAGTAGTTGAGGAGCTTGCAATGCTCAGGGCTGGCCGAGGGCCCACGCACAAGACGGGACTGTGCGAGGGAGACAGGGAATGTGACATCTCATACTTCTCACCCTGGGGTCAGAGTAATGACCCTTTTACAGATGCCAACAGAAGCTCCCAGGGACTTTATGGTCCCATATCTCATAGCTGGTGAGCAGCAGAACTGGATCTCACTGTACATCCTTCTTTGGACTCAGAGTCTCATCATTCACAGAGCACCATGACTGCCAGGGAATCCTTCCCAAGCCTGGGAAAGTGTTTTGTTTATTAGAAGAAAGAAACAACATCCTAGTTTCTACCATCAGAAACTGCCTACAGTCTGGGGAGGAGCAAGGCACCCTCTGTAGCCCTGCTGCACATTTTTATGTGTTCACGAGGCTGAGTCAGAGCTTGGGGAACCCACAGTGCTCATCCGTGCCCAAGGGAGATATAGAGGTTCAGACTCATTAAAGGCTGGTTCCATGTCCTGGTTGTGTGACTCTGGACTAGGGTGACAACAGTGATTAGCGTAGGGACAGTCCCACCTCCTCCTGACATCTGGTTGTTCTCCCACAAGGGGGAGGGGGTGAAACTGGCATAGCATATACAGAACAGGATTCTCTATCTATCTATCTATCTATCTATCTATCTATCTATCTATCTATCTATCTATCTATCTATCCATCTATCACAACACACATGAGCCAAACCTCACAACATCCACAGTTCAGCCGTCCTCAGTGTCAGCAGGACCAAGGCTGGGAAACAATCACCCTAGCACATGGCATTCTCATCGCACCCAAGTTTGCTCAGGTGTAAAGTGAAGATGGCAATAGCAGACATTGGGTCCAGGCTTGTGACCATCACTTCAAGGACTGGAGACATTGGGCATGGCCTTGGGAGAAAACGTGTGACAACAAGGACATAGTGATGTGTCTTGTTCCCTTTACAAGTCAGGTATCCTTTCTTCAGATGTATCATCTGCAGAAGTCTACACAGTTGCTCAAACATGGATTGTATTTTAGATAGGGTCTCACTCTGTGCCTCGTGCTGGCCTTGAACTCACTCTGTAGTTCAGGCCAGCCTCTTATCCATGGTAATTCCCTTGCCTCAAACTCCCAAGTACTATGATTAGAGGTGAGAGCTACTCCAAATTCATCAAGGAGATTCCTTCTAGATACTTCTCCTGGAAACTTTTAAAGAAGTGATCATTTTTATCTTTTATTTCAGTAAAAATTTAACAAGAGTGAGTGTATTTTTAATTTTAGCAAAAGACTTGATTTTAAAATACAAATTCGGGGGGGGGGGAATAATTTATTCTAGAGGAAAAAACAAACTATAGAAAATATCTTTGGCTTGTTGTCTGACGACTGCAAGTTTAATAATAAGCCCTGGGTGGTGCAGGTACAATGTTTTTTGGTGTGTGTGTGTGTGTGTGTGTGTGTGTGTGTGTGTGTTGGGTTTTGGAAACAGGGTCTCACTATGTAGTCCTGGATGCCTGGAGCTTTCTTTGTCAACCAGGCTGGCATACAACTTGCAATAATTCCCCTGCTTCTAATTACCAAGTGCTGGAATTATAAATGTATGCTACAATACACTGCTGGTGCTTTAAAAAAAAATAATGCCAAGTTAAGTTGCAGAAACAAAAGAGCACCTAACTTAAAGATGGATAAATCCGAATTTCATGTGTGCTGTTGGCCCAATTGTCCTCTAGGGGGAGCCAAATACCTCTTGACTGATCAGAAACGTCATGAAGGTTGAGCCAGGCCCAGGGCTCCAAGGGTCCAGACTTCTGCAAAAGGGCAAAATTCCTGAAATCACAGTCTGCTCTTTAGCATGTTCTGTGACTGGCCTGGGGCGGGCTGAGAAAGCTGCTCTCTAGGCTTGAAGAGACAGACCCTCTCCATCACCGGCTTGCAGCCTTGGCTGGTTTTCCTGCACTTCTCCATCAGAGAAGGGATAGGGACAGGCAGGGTGAAGCTTGGTGGAGACTCTGCCCGGTAAAGGACTTCAGCACACCAGTGTCGGGGGACAGGATTGAACTTTTGATAGTCACTGAGCAGTCTGTCTTCTGATGTCACAGAGGAACAAGTATTTTATTTTATTTCTTTAATATTTATTTATTTACTTTTTTTTAAAGAGGGTTTCTCTGTGTAGTTTTGGTGCTTGTCCTGGGTCTCGCTCTGTAGCCCAGGCTGGCCTCAAACTCACAGAGATCCACCTGCCTCTGCCTCCCAAGTGCTGGGATTAAAGGCATGTGCCACCACCGCCCGGCCCGGACAAGTATTTTAAAGTTGTCCAGCAAGCAGCTCCAAAAGCCTCCACAAAGGCTCGGGCTCAGTTGCCATTTGGAAAGCTGAGTTCTGCACACTACAGATGCTCATCAGTGTCCTCTTTTCTCTCCAGGGAACAGCAGGGGAGGAAGGCAGCCCTGGGCCAGCTGGTCCACGGGGCGATCCTGGTGCTCCTGGCCTCCCTGGGCCACCTGGAATAGGGAAGGACGGGGAGCCGGTAAGTGTCAGCCTGACGTGCTTTGAACTTTGGGAAGCCAGGCTAGCAATGGAAAATAAAACCAGAGCAAAAGCAGAGACTCATTTTAGAAAGTGAGCCATAGTTGATGAGCTGGGTGGGAAGGGGTGCTGTAAGGCTTGGGGTGTCCCTTAACCCAGGGATACATTCCTGCCAACCAGCTTGCTTCATAATAACAATAAAGTAGAAAATGTATAACACTGTACTTCCATGACGGTTTTCACTAACTTGTGAATTATTGCTGAAATCTTTGACTTAATGCTTTCTGCCTGTGGTTGACCGCAGGAAACTGGATCCTTGGAAGTGAAACCACAGATGGGCAATTGCTCACAGCCAGCCCTGAGCACATGGAGCTCTGGCTGCATGCTCAGGATCCAGGGGAGCCAGTCATGCAAATGAGTTTCAAATTACCCAGTGGTCATGGCGCGTACGTGCGTGTGCGCGCACGTGCACACACACAAAACGGGTTTCTTGGTCCACACTGAGCTCCTCTGGCTGAAAATAGATCTGGATGTCAAGTGTATTCATGAGTGACATAGTAGGCCAAGCTCATTGGCTGGAAATAGAAGCCCCTCCCATAGGCTGCCCCATGTCTCTGTAAGTGTGATAAGAAGAAAGAGACTAAGCTTTGGGGTCATGGGGTCAGGTGAGCATGGCTTTGAAGCTTGATCTTGCTGGTTCCTTTGGGGTCCCTTAGCATGAAGATCTGAAGAGGAAAAATACACTAAGGGATAGAGAGGCTTGTTTTTGTCCAGATAGGGGCAGGGAATGGAAGAGTCAGAAGTAACACCCAGGACCTATGACGGAGTGTAGTCACACTGGAGTGAGAGTCCCTCATACTCCTGCTCCAGCAGAGGGCAGGCAGCCAGGTATGTGGTGAGTGATTGGGTGATCAGCTCTCATGGTCCCCTGTTGTTCATTTCAACAGGGACTTCGTGGACCGCCTGGTTTACCTGGTCCCTTGGGAACCAAGGTAAGTGCTTGTCCAAGCAAATTAGAGATGGACCTTTAGAGAGTGTGGACATTTTCATTATATGCATCTCTGGTCACCTCAGCCACGCCCACATTTCTCATCTGAGACTCCTGAGATCGTGAGGTAATGTCCACAGCAGTGCCTCATAAATGCTAAGTAAATGAGCTTTGGAGAGCTGTTGCCTTTTACCTAGCCAGGCTGTGTGCTAAGTCTTCTCTTGTTACTGGTGAGATTTTGGTAGTGGATGATCCCCAAACTTTAACATAATTCTAATGGGAGTCTAGGAGTCTGGTGTGTGTGTGTGTGTGTGTGTGTGTGTGTGTGTGTGTGTGTGTGGTGTTGAGGGGGGTGGTCCTAGTCTAAACACTCCAGCACTGCCAACACTGTTCTCTTTCCCCAAGCTTTGGCATACCTGGTGGGTAGAGGGAGAGGGAAGGACCTGCAGGCAGAATTTTATGAGCCAGAGCTGGAAATTGGTTATTATGTCCACCCACTAAATTCTAGTGACATTCATGACAAGGAAGGCCAGAGAATGTCACCTAGTTGGGCACCAAAGAGGAAGAAGGAAATGGATGAATACCACCAGCCTGAGTCTACCTCAATTCATCAGCACCCATGGGCCTGAAAGGCAGTATCCCCCTGAACAAGCAGAGGATTGCCCCAAGGTCTCTCAACACTGAATCCCTCATTCATTTATTCAAGCTTGCCTGGATGACTAGCCTTATTAGTTCCATCATGGCACATCTATAGAATGGACTGTCGGACATAATAGTGATCCTGGTACATTCCTGGGCCTCTGTTGGCTCATGGCTCAGGGGACATACGGAGGTATAAACTGCAAAGGTAGGCAGGTGTTGGAGTGGGGGGGTGTGAGCTCCGAGCACGTTCAGGGAGGCTCTTAACCTGGTTTGGTTGTGAGTGGCTACTTGGAGAGTGAGGTGTACTTGTCCTCATTTGAAATTGCATGTGGCAGCTGGTGTGGGAAGAAATGCTGCTGTAGGCCTTGGCAAGGTTGAGCGTGGAGGGACACTGAGGCAGGGCATGAAGCAAATTTAACTATAGCCATACCCACACACAGGGAGAATCATGATATCAACTCGGATACATGGACTTGAGAAGATGTGGGCCGGAATCACTCATTGATGTCAGAATGGGATGCTTGGATATTTGGCTTTAATGGGACATGCATATTTAAATTACATAAAGATGTTATTATAAAATCACTTCTTAACACTTGTGCCTATTTATAAAAACCATTTCTTTAAAAAAATCCTTCTTGCCAGGAGTGGTGGTACATGCCTGTAATCCCAGAATTTAAGAGGTAGAGATAGGATTAGGAGAATCTAGGGTCTGAGGCTAGACTGGGTCACTAGGTTGGGTCTAGGCCAGCCTGAGCTACAGAATAAAGGTGTCTCTCAATGAACAAAAACATCCTAAAAAACATGGAGAACCTATTCCTATTTATCTTCCACACTATGGTTTTTATTGTCCTCCAAGTCACCCTGAGCCAGCCAGCACTGTGTGAAGTGCACTGCTTCCCATCCCTGATGTCGTTTTAAGCTTCCATATATGCTGCTGTGACCAGAAGTTTGGTGCCCAGCCCTTGAGTCCACCTACATGACAGGTGACCATTGCCCTGTTTGTTCCTTTGATTTTACAGGTGTACTTTTGGGATCTCAGTTATACAGCTACAGAGTGCTGTGAAATAATCTTGTTGTACACTGTAAAAATTTGTCACTCTAATGGGTTTAAAACACTGATTGGGCAGTAGCCAGGCAGGAAGTATAGGCAGGGCTATCAAACTAAGGATGATGGAAAAGAAAAGGACAGATTCAGAGAGTCACCAGTAAGCACAGAGAAGCAAGATGAGAATGTTGTACTGAGAAAAGGTACCAAGCCACATAGCTAAACATAGATAAGAATTATGGGTTAATTTAAGTGTAAGAGCTAGTTAGTAACAAGCCTGAGCTAGTGGCTAAGCATTTATAAGTAATATTAAGGCTCCCAGTAGATTATTTGGGAAGCGGCTGCCAGGTATTTGGGAACAGGTATATCGAAGAGAAACATCTGATTACAACAGAGTGAATTGAATTTAAAAACTTACCAAACTAATATCTAGCATAAGGAAGTTTGAGATTCCATAGATGTTGACAGGAGCAAAGCGTAGGTCTCAGCTTCATAATTTTCTCCCTATTCAAGCAGGCTATCTCTGTAACTATCCTAAACCTTCATTAAGCAAGATTGTAGTATACTAATTTGTTTGCAGTATGTTAATTTGATTGCATTACCTATGATCAAACATTTCCCCAAGTGGGAGAATTATCTATATGGTAGGAGTAAATGTCAACTGCATATTTTCTGGGGCAGGGGTAGTATCAGGATTGTATAAGGGAATCTGTCTGTCATTGGTGAGTCCTGTCCAGATTCTCCTTCAGTGCCCAAGCATTCTGACCCTTCTCTCTTGAGAAGGACCTTCAGGACCCAGAGGACACTGATAACCTTTTAGAAGCCAAAACGGGGTGTCAAGTGGCAGAGAAGTAAATGGCTTGACTTGTCTCATTTTCCACCATAATCAAATATAACCTTTTTCTAACAGTAGGAGACACTTTAAATTCCTTTTATCCCACAGTTGTATCTTAGGATCTTAACAATAGAGCCATAAAATATATTTTTTTCTTTCTTCCAAGAAAAGTGTGTGTGTGGGGGGGCGGGCATGTTCCCATATCTATAAGAAATAACTCCCTAGTGTGGGGCTTAAAACATTGTTATCCTGTGGTTTCAGCTTTCCTGTTGCAACAGGAAGTTGTTCACCTAGGTAGCCTATATCTAATCTATACACACACTGTTGGAAAAAGTCATGTGGGAACCAGTGAAAACATCAATAAATGTAGAAGGTGGGCTCGGACTTCTGACCCAGTGTAGCTGAGCAGTTTCATTATCATGGGGGCTCAGGGTAAGTCATGCTGTCTCTGGACCAACCTTTCCCCTTAAATATTCACTCATCACACTGTGGATGATGTACAGATGTGTAAGTTACTGTGTTTGGGGTTTAGAGGTTCCCACTGTTGAGGAATTTAGAAAGTAAGTCAAGATTCAAGGACGTCTTTATTTGGAGAATGGATTGCTCAGGGGGTGGGGCGTAGAGGAAGTGATGCAAGAGAAAAGGAAAGGAGAAATATGGAGAGCTGTGTTCAGCCTTGTCCCAGGTATTGAGAGGACATGCCTCATTGGATTATCGGAGGAAGCAATCTAGAAGTTTCCTTCGGCACATCTCAATGCCTCCTAGTTGGTGCTAAGTTCCACGCAACTTGGTGAGTGACATTTGTTTCCTGCAAAGTGAACATGTTTGGGCTTCATAGAGAACTTATTTTGAATTCTAGCTCAACTATCTACAGGATAGATGATTGGAAAGCAAATGAGTTTAGCTTTCCGAGACACTTACTTTTCTGTTTGAAGGAGTAACGAGTATTTGACACTAATGGTCTCCTTAAGAGAGAAATGATCTTATGGCACATAGCCACTGTTCTGTAACTTCCATCTCTTTGCAGAACCTCAAACTTCTTCACACATTCCTCCTGGAGTGTGGCTCCCAGATGCTCATTCTTGGGCCCTGTCCCTTCCCACCCACTGGTCCTCTTGTGCTTGATGACAGAGGGCTTGGTTTATTTTTCTGTCCTTTGGGGGACATTTTCTAAAAGTGTCTGTTCATTAAAGCTAGGGAATGGTTTCTTGAGGGAATTTTTAGCATCACAATAGGCTATAGACACAGATGGGACAAGACCTGGCCACTGTGCAGAAAAATCAATCATAGACTCACTGCTGCTAAGTTGGGTCAGAGAGGTCTTGCTAGCATGCTTTTTCTGGGGTGTAGGAGAGGAGCTTATTTTGGAGGAGGCAGAATTCAGTGGCTGACACAATGCAGCTGTGCATTGCTTGTTCTGGCATCCAGGCAGAGGGCATTAAAGCCAGGATCAGGCCTTAAACCGGACACTTGGTGCAGAGATATGTAGATATCTACTCTACATTGGGTCTGACTCATTTGAGATACGTGGTGGTAAATTTTGTTGAATAAGCAAATGAATAGGAAGTCTATTTTCATGCAGTTTACCAAAAAGTCAGAGGTGAGGTGGACACATGGAAAGTAGGAGGTTAATGTGAAGATTAATGAAGGTATGTGTAAATTATTGATATCTGACAGACAGACAGACAGGGAGCGCGGGCTGAGACAGCTCTGTGGAAGGAATGACTGGACCCAGGCAGTGGCTGGGTCAGTGTTGGGGACTGGAAGTTTAAGCATGCTCTCAGAGGCAATGGTATGTGCACCAGGCAGGGGTGTATCTGTTACTTTGCTGTTGATTGTGACAGAAGAGTATGACAAAAAGCAAGCCACAGAAGACAGAATTTATTTTGACTTGCAGTTCCAGAGTGGGTTGAGTCCATTATCAAGAAGGCATGACATCCAGAATATGAGGTCAGCCTGACAGGAAGCAGAGTGATCACGCTTTGTCCAGACACAGGAAGCCTCACAATAGGCTCAAGGAAGCAGAGGTTGGGAGATAAACCCAGCTGGAAGCAGAGAGATTAGATTTTATCTATATGAAAGAAGCCTGAAGCAGAGGTGGGGGAGAGGAGTGGGAGGGAGTGAAAACGGGAAGTGGGGACCATCTATAAAACCTCAGCCCCACCCCTACCTTAGTGAAGTACTTCCTAAAGTTTCTGTAACCTTCCCAAACAGTGCCACCAACTTTGGACCAAATGTTCAAATCCATGAGCCAGTGGAGGACATTTCTCATCTAAACCACAACAAAGGGGGTATAAACAACAACACAGAAGAATATAGATTCCTAGTGTAACTTGCCATTCGAGTGTTGGGGTTACTAATGTACATGGAATGTGGCCTTGGGAAGGGAGCAGGAGGCTAGCAACAGCAGGGAAGTCTGTGTCAGTCAAGTCAAAGCAAAACCAAGGTACAAAATGGATGGACTTATTTGACTTTTATGTATCCATCTAATTTTTCTTTCTGCTAACCCTCAATAAAATGGTAACGGTATAACTGCAGTACTTGGTATATCTCTCAACTTCATAGTCACTTGCCTTCTAAGTGATTATACACAAGATGCAGAGGAACTTGGTAAAATCTTAATATTTTATTGACGAAGGTCTTACTCTTCTGTCACAATCAACAGCAAAGTAACAGATACACCCCTGCCTGGTGCACATACCATTGCCTCTGAGAGCATGCTTAAACTTCCATGCCCCAGGCTCCCCAACACTGACCCAGCCACTGCCTGGGTCCAGTCATTCCTTCCACAGAGCTGTCTCAGCCCGCGCTCCCTGTCTGTCTGTCTGTCTGTCAGATTTCAATATTTAATATTTTATTGACCATGAGGCCTTCCCAAGGTAGGAGCATGACTTTATGCTGGGGCCAGACCAAGAGTCATTCAGCTATGCCCGAGATATTCCTACCTGGCCCTCTTCACTCTTGTAAAGAGCTGCTGGCAGATGAGTCATGGGTCAGGTTCACACTTGTTTCTGTATTTATCTTCTTGACCCCCCTTCCTTATACTTCTTAGAGTTTCTAGATCCAAAGCATGTTACGATTCCCAGGCCAGGCCATATTATAGCACCCCAGAGAAATGGAATGTACTAAGTAGGAATTTTTGAAGAGAAATTAGGAAAGATCTAGTAGAAGAGTTGAGGGTGGGGCAATGGCTGATCTGTTTCTCAGGGATTGTTAACGATGGGTGGTATAGCCACGTTGGGCTTGGAAGGACAAGGAAGAGAAATAGCAGGTTATTCAGGGGGCTTAGTGAGGGATTTGGGTTTGGGTTTTTACATTTTTGTGGAAGGACTTTGTAAGCTTCCTTCCTTTCAGCTTCGTGATTGATACTCCACTTCGGGACTTAGCACTGAGTACTTACAGTACGCAGGCATCGTGACTGAATTGCAGGTGGGGATTGGAGCCTAGATCTTGGCTTACATGGGACACACAATGAGTGTTAGCTGAATGAAAATCTAACTGTAGTCATCACAGGAGCAGGAAAAAACACATTATCTTAGAAGCATGACTTTTCTTCTTTATTTTTGAATAATGTCTTTTACTTATTCTTTGAAGATTTCATACATGTACCCAATTTATCTCTATCATAGCCATCCTTCCATTTACCCCTCTCCAGATTTCCCTGGGCTCTCTAGTACATCTCACGCCCAACTTCATGTCTTCCTTTTTTGAAAACAAAACAAAACAAAACAAAACAAAAAACACTGAGTGTAACTATGGCTTCCTGTATGCAAGTGGGGCAATCCACAAGGAATGGGCGACCTGTTAGCTGTGGTCAGAGAAGCTTTTTCTATGCCGTGGGCAGTTGTTAGTGCAGAGACTGAACATGCTGGGGATAGATGAACGTGAGTATCAGCTCTAGAAGATGCATCTCTACCATCCTCTCACCCATGAGGCTCAGAAAACACAGAGGAGCAGGAGGAGAGCCTGCAGGGCTTGGCACATGAGAAAGAGTTCTGTGAAATATTGTTTGGATATGACATGACTGTTGTACACATGAACTCTTGGCAGTGATGGTTACCTGCACAAGGACCAGAATTACTTTCTTAAACCTAAAATGTAAGGGTTTCCAGTAGCCATTATGGGCCAAACTATAGCCTGATTATTAACAATCTATTTTAAATGCTTTAAAGCATAGATGTTAATAAATCAGTGTTTCCTAGAGTCAGCTTTCTGAAAGAAATCTCTTTGGCTCTTTGTGACTAGCTTCTGGGCTGCTTGACTCATCCCAGGGATCGTAAGTGGTCTGAGCAAGGACACCTGACATTGCATTTTCAGACTGGAGGGATAGGTGGACAATCTTTTATGTAATGTGGTAATATGTATTTTTATTAAGATTTTTTAAATTCATTTTACATACCAATCACAGATCCCCATCTTCCCTCCTCCCGCCCCTCTAGCCTCCCCTCCCATGCTACCCCCCATTCCCTCCTACAGGAAGGTAAGGCCTCCCATGGGGAGTCAGCAGAGCCTCTGGTAATGCGTATTTTGAATCTGGGTTGTAAGAAAGAGTCCTAGGCAAGTTGCATCTCCTAATGTTGCCTGTAGGGTTGGGGAGGCACAAAAAAAAAAACTCTTTAGCCACTAGGTACCCAAAACCTGAGTGTTTGTACAAAATGTGGTGATCCAAGGCTGGAAATGCCCGTGTCAGTACAAATCAGGCTTGCTGCGCCCCTCAGAGTCAGCCTTAGCCGGAGACACTTCTTTGTCTGCCATTGAGGGATTTAAAACACCAGAACCTGGAACCTCAGCTTCCTTCTATGGGAAATGGCCAAGTCTTTTTATCCCTCTCCTCTCTTATTTTTCCCCGTCAAGTCCAGAATGTCACACGGTGAGAGCAGCAGCAAATGCAGCAGGTGGCTTGTGTGGACTGAGTGGCGGGATCACAACATATTCCCTTTGTGCTGAACCCATTGAATCAGCATACTACCACGCTGGCTCAGCTGCTCCTGTGTACCACCTGGATGGTGAAGAAACGTGCTCGGGGCACTTGTCCTGGTCTATTTTTTTTTTTTTTTTTTTGGTTGTGAGCCTAGCCTTTAACGGCTGAGCCATCTCTCCAGCCCTCTTGTCATGGTCTTAAGTTAGCAGTTCATTGTGCCAAATCTATACTCTTTTTTTTTTTGGTTCTTTGAGTCAGAGTTTCTCTGTGTAGCTTTGCGCCTTCCCTGGAACTCACTCTGTAGCACAGGCTGGCCTCAAACTCACCGAGATCCACCTGCCTCTGCCTCCCAAGTGCTGGGATTAAAGGCGTGCGCTACCACCACCTGGCCACAAATCTATACTTTTAAGTGCACTGCTTGAAGTTATGGTCTTACTTGAGTTATCTTTGAGGCTCTTCTGTCACACCATGAAGAGCTACTCATGAAGTGTAGGTATTGGGAAAATGTTGAAACATCAATGTATTTATTTACTGATGATGTGGGGTCTGAGTTGAAATATGGGTGCATATGTGGTTGGGGTGGAGGTATGATGGGCATGGGGGAAACACCGTAGCTAGGTGCTCCAAACATGGGGAGTAGACTTAGTGTTCTAGTCACAGTGAACATCATGTTCAAATTGGGGTAACTTTGAGAGGTATGCTATCACAACCATAGGGCTCTGGTTCATGCGGTACTGTACCAAGAAGAAGCATGGGCTCCTTTAGTACATCATGGAACGGAGGATGAATGAAGGATAGATAGGAGAGGAGCTGATGGATCAACAGTCAGGATTCTGTGAGAAGCATAATTATTCCTGTACATTGTTCCTGATCTTGCCAGTGCTGACCTATTTATTGTGGTTTTCTATCTCCTTAGGGTGACCGAGGAACACCTGGGATCCCTGGCTCTCCTGGCAGCCGTGGCGACCCAGGCATCGGGGTTGCTGGTCCACCCGTGAGTCCTTATTCAGCTAACATCCTTGTTTTCAGGTCACATTCACACTGCAGATCCCTGCTGGCTCCCTTGGGAGTCTACAGCGTAGGTTCCTGAATAGACAGTCCTGTTTCAGCTGGTACGGCAGTGGGCTGTGAATCCTTGGGTCCATTAAATGCAGGGTTTGTATACATGGCTGCAGTTGGTGCAAAACTTGTTGTACTTCTAATGGAAAAAAGAAGAATACAACCTTTGGACCAATGCACGGGGTCTGATTCAAAACAAGGACAACAACAAATCTCACCAACTTTGTATTGGTTCTTTTATAATTCCATTACACACATATGAAGTTTGATATAAATGTATATATATATGTATATATATACATTTACGCACACATATGTGTGTGTATATATATGTATGTATATATATATATACATATATATATGTATATATATATATATCTTATTCCCCGCTACTACCTTTTTTTCTTGTCCTCCTACTGAAGGCCTTCTTCCCACCAAGTTATCTTCCTATTTCCATGTCTCTTGCGTATTGCCAACTGAATTTAATTAGGGTTGCCTATGTAAATACATCTGTGGGCTTATTTACTTGAGCAAGGACACTCTACAAGTGACTACCACTGAGGAGTCTGACTTCTATCCGCAGCTGCGAGTGTCTACAGCTTCTCAGGGTTGGGTGGGGTCTTGTTAGTCCTGCCCTTTTTCATGATGCTGTGTTGATGCGCCCAGCATTGTGTGGTAGTTACTGCTGCTGTGATGCTACCCAATGACTTTAAAGAAAAATAAAAGACCCATGGACCAAACTATGAGTAATAAAATCATAGCTAATAAAACTAAGCTGGGGAAGGAGTGTGATCTGGGAAAACATTGTGGTTTTGTATATCTTAGGCCCCAAACTAAACAAAACAAAACAACAACAACAACAAAAAAACAAAAACAAAATAAGCTAATTGTTCTGATTCCTCTAATTGGTAAAGGTGAGAACGTATCTCATGGCTCCAAAACACCATCCACAAATGGTCCTTGTATTGTTGGTTTTAAGGAGTCGTTTACATCATGTAGTAGGTACAGGCTTCTTAAACCCATAGAGCTTGTAGCTGTGTTATCTCCGAGTTATCCAGGCTCATCCAGGTCCTCAGCCAGACATCCCCTGTGGAAGACACACTTTGTCCAAAGCGTAGGACACATGGTGTTGAAATTTAGAGTTGTTTTCAGTGAAGAACTAAATTTCTTTTCTTGAGAATAGAATCACGTTCTGTGTCTTTTCACCATCACAGAAGTGTGTCTTTTCTTCTCTCTGCCACTGAATGATAGCTTTCAGAACTTAAGGACAGCTTCCAATCTGAGGCTGTCTATTTTTCCATCTGCTCTCATCTTTGCTAAAGGCAGAATATTGATTCAGCCTCAACTGCATTTTTTTTTCTTGACAGCCAACCATGTCTTACTATTACTTGAAACTCAAATACTCAGCTAAGCCTTGGAATAGCTCAGCTACCCACATATAACTATTATTTTAAGCCATGGGCATAGTCTTAACTTCACCCCTGCTAAACATAACCTGGATAGAAACCAAAAGAGCACATCGCCCAGTCTCTGCTTTTTCCACATTTGAGAAATGCAGACCACAACCAAAAAGATCTCAAGTAATACCATTTTTTTCTTCGTTTTATGGAGAATTTCATGTAGAGTTCTGTATTCACATTATCCCCCCCCCAACTCCTCCTGTGTCCATCTCAAACTCCCTATCATAATCACTACCTCTTATCTTTACTGTTGGTGTGTGTGTGTGTGTGTGTGTGTGTGTGTGTGTGTGTGTGTCTATATGCTTGTAAATCCAGCCTATTGAATCCATGTTGTGTTGCTCATGTATTTATATGCTTAAGGCTGACTTAGGGCTGACTACTTGGTATTAGAGAACTATTAATTGCCTTTATCTCTTCATTTAGGGGTGAGGTTTGTAAGATTTCCCCTATCTATAATGTTGAGATTTCCTAGGTGCAAATTCTCCGTCATATACAGAAAACACACTCTTCCAGCAGACATGTTGGTCCTTAGACTCTTACAATCTTTCTTTCCCCATCTTCCATAATGTTCTCTGAGCCTTTGGTATAAAGAGTTGTGTTGTTAAGATGGGTGGTGGTGGCGGCACATACCTTTAATCCCAGAACTCAGGAGGAGGCAGAGCTGTAAGTTTGAGGCCAGCCTGGACTACAGAGTGAGATCCAGGACAGGCACCAAAACTACACAGAGAAACCCTGTGTCGAAAAAACAAAAAAGAGTTGTGTTGTTGATATATCACTTGAGGTTGGGCAGCCCATGGCCAGTTGTTCTCTACAATTTGACTAGTTGTGCATTTCTAGAATGTTCTTTGTCTGCTGCAAAAGGGTTTTTTTTTTTTGATGAGGGTTACAAGCTACATTTATCTGTGGGTATAAGAATAAATATTTAAATGTACTTAAAATGGTACTGGCTTAGGATAGTGGCAGTAGTAGGTTTTCCAGGGCACATGGCCTTACCATTGTGGGTAGTTGGCTACATTTATAGTACCAGGCATAAATTCTCTCCTATTGAGCAGCCCTTAAGTCCAATTAGACAACATTTGTTTATCCCTAAGATGTAAGTGACACTGTTTCATCCTTGTCTTGCTGTGTTGGTCATTGTTGTGAGTCATAGACCAAGTAACATAATTCTTCATATATAACTCCCGAAGAAAAAGAAGAGAGATCTAATTTATTATCTATAATATTGCATAAAATAAAAGTCCCCTTTGCTTTTGTCTGTGGTCTTCATACATCTGAGTCAGTTTAGGCCTCTCTCCTCACACATGGTTCTTTCCAATAGGCCTGGGTGCTTCCCCACTGGAAAAGACCACCTACTTCTCCCTCCTACAGCAATGGGGACTCCTTCAAGGTGGCAGAATTACAGGGGGGCTCTCGGTCTTCCTAGAGTTCCATAAACACTGTGGCATGAGCAAATGAATTCCCCTGTGGAATCCCTGTTTGGTTTGTTCTATTTCACAGAAAATGTTAGCTAGAATTTCTGACAATCAATGCTCTCCATTACATTGATTATATTTCTTGGTCTTGGATTTCTTTGCAATTTTAGTGTCTAGATACTAGAGCAACAGATAAAGAAACAGTAGCCCAGACTTCTTATTCCTGGAGGCTTCCTCTCAGAAGGGCCCCTTGCCCTAAAGTTAGGAGTTTGACTCCTGATGGACTTGAGCCTTAAAACAGAAAATACCTAATGTTGTGTGCCTGGGATGTGGTTGTCCCCTGTTTCCTGTCTACTCCTCAAGGATCCACCCCATCAAGCTCATCTTTAGACAGTCCATGTTGATTGCCTAGGATATGATTGTCCCCACGTGTCCTGTCTATTCTCCAAGGATACATTGCATCAAGCTCATTTAGACAGCCAGGCAACAGAGGTAGCACAATTCACCCCAAATCTAACTAGCTGAAATCACCATGAAATATCTTCCTGCCTAGCTGATTCCACAGGAAAAATAATTTGCTGGCTGCAGCCAAGAGGTTGTAAATCAACTCTTTAGTGTGTTCCTACCACTTGGGCTTATTAAAAGCTTCCTGGTGGATGAAACCTTATTGCATTGCCATAAATCTCATTGGCCAGCAGCCTAGGCTGGTGATGGCCAGGGGAGCTGCATGGAAGGTTCAAGGATTTGCTGATAGCAGGCATGTAGTAGAGGTGAGAAGGGGTGTGTCAAGTTATTGGGGAATATGGATCTTTGCTCAGCAGCCCAATGTCTCTCTCTGTCTTATATTGGGGTGCAAAGGATCATATCCCCCGCCCCACTCATGGAGGAGATGGGTTATCCTTCAGAGTTAAGGGTTAAGGTAGGTATCCCAAGTATGAGTTTATTCGAGAGATGATTTCAGAAATTCACTTTTAGAGGGTAACGAAGTAAGTAGAGATAGGAAGAGAGCCCAGGTAGAGTTTGTTATTGAACAGATGGGCACTGTGGGCCGTTGAGTCTTGCTCTTTTGACCCCTGAGTCACTGCATGGCACACTCTCAGAGATGCCTGCACAAAGAATAAGGGAGCTAGAATCTTGATGTATCAATACCGTAGCTCGTGAGCTGCTCCTAGGAACTGTCAGCCAGACCTTGGGCTGACATGTTCACTCTGGATAAAGAGCCCCGGAGCATGGGGCAGATTCTGTTGTGAGTTGTCCTCTGCCTCCTGCCTCCTCTGGAGCTTGTTCCTCGAGCCTTTCTCATTCATAGGCTTTGCTACCCACTGGAAGGGAGCCAGGGGCCGGTATGTTGATCCTGCTAGGTTGACCCATCAACAGTAAGGCTGTGCAGCTGCTTGAGCTTCTAACTTCCTGCTTCCAGAATTCACAAACAAAACCCTCCTTTCATCTTCAAGTTGTCTCTGATCTTCCTTTGGTAAGATTTAAGAGCTAAAATCATGAGCTCTTTCAGGCTTTGGTGAGATCAAAGTGCTCATGGGGTTGATACCAGGAGCTTTGTAAGGACAAGGCTCTCACTGACAGCCACATAATCCGAGACTCTTTCCTATTCCAATCATCAGTTTCCCTGTGGACCAAGTGCCAGCAATTCCAGCAACACCACCAGGGGAACTGGGAGAATGTGGCCTGATGCTATTGGGGATGATGTCTAGCACCCTACTTTTGCTTCTGTGGTGTCATTGAATTCCTCTTCTGTACTTCTGAGCCTTCAAAACCCGAAATGTCCAAAAGTTAGCTATAGGATGCCTGGACCAGTCAAGATGCTTAATGTGCACATGGACTGAGGCATCCTTACAGCCATCCAATGGCTTGATAGCTTAAGAGAGTGGCAGGAAGCACAGAGCCAACTGATTTCAGGCAAGGAAGCATTCTAAATGCACCACACAAGTGTGCTTTGTGCATTCCTCTAGTTTCTATGGGATAATGTAAAAATCATAGAGCTGGCAGCCAATGAAGTGTGAGAATTAGAATAGTGTTATCCAACATCCACTGCCTCTGGCTGGCAG